TGAATATAAAATGTATCTGTATTCATTTCCATGTAATTTAAATTTTATTCATTATACACACACGTACGAATTTTATTATTTATAGTGGATTGGAAGCGCATAAATCTTGTAGTGGTAACTAATGTAATTTCAATCTCACCATCACATTATTGCTCTAGTTTTTATCACTCTTTTCTTCTTCTAAATGTGCCTACTAAACCATTGAGCTAAATCCATACGAGTTTTATCACTCGTTTAATGTATGTTTGGTGTGCTTATTATTGTTTGTTGTACCATGACACTTCAACATTTTATTGTTTGCGTTAAATTTTGACCAAATTTGAATCCAATCGAAATCTATTTGGAGGGCTCTTTCCAATACCTATTGCTTTATTAATAAAGCTCAAAGTCAAAAGTTTGTTTAATATGTACCAAACCTATTTCAAGTGTTTAGACAATGTATAGATTATTTGAAATTTCAATGGCATTCCTACCGTACCATTGAGTAATTTATTTTCTTTTATTATACATGACGAAAATGATTTCTCAGTTAATTTCGTTTTTGATTATTCAAATATATTGGATACAACATATGATATTTTCTTAGTTATGAGACTAATTCAAATTTAGCATAACTAAAATGTTACATTAGTAGTCTAACGATTAATTGACTTAAGTTACTAGACTATTATACAAATATATTGTAAATTTGTCCTGAAATAGGTGGCGTGGTGGGTGGTGCATGATTTGTATCGGAAGGTCACATGTTCAATTATTACTAACACATTCTCGGTTGAATCTGTAGCACAATATTTTTTAAAATGCAATTCACCTCTTCTATATTATTCTGGACTTACAAAGGAGTAGAGTTACTCCCTTATCAAAAAACAAAATTATATTGGCAAACGTTCATAACGAAACTCCACTATCATCCATAATTCCCATCCCTGCAATACATTTGGAAAAAACTTATCACCATGCCCAAGTACACCACAGACAAAACAAAAAGTTAGCAAACGTTCATAACGAAACTCCACTGTAACCCAATAACTATTATCCTTCTTCAGTTTCATACCCTTTTTCAAGGGTTTAGCCATATCAATCTTAACATGAACACGGAAGAAGACACGCAAATTCATAAGTCATGACAAATTGTGATAGTAAACATGTTTTCTGTTCTCCAATTTTTCAGAAAATTAGAAATTTTTTTCAGTTACTAAACTATCCTAATAGTCCTAAACATTTGAAATGCTTTAATTGAAACATTTATCTCTTGTGAAATTTTGAACTAAAATAGTTTAAACAATCCATGGCTCCAATCGACAATCGAACACATTTTAATCAAACGATCATTTTGAGGGTGATTGGAGTGGTGAACTGCCCCAACCACCCCCTAGAGAACACATTTTAATCAATGAATCTGCATTATTGTTGCCCCTTCAAAATGAATGTTTCAGACTTTAGCAAATAGTGTTTTAAAATATATGATGGGACAATTAGCCGTTTGGTCTGCAAGTAATGCAACATCTAATGTCAGTATTATGTGATTTTTTGTACACAGACATTTGTCCCTGTCTGCTGAATCATTAAGGCATCGTGATTTACATTTTTTCAAATACTTTGTCAGACCAGGGGCCATTAGGATTAGAGATTCAACCTTTTGGAAGAAGTATTATGTCATTTTTAACTGTTGATATCATTAAAGTGACTCTGTCACAGTTAACGCAGTTTTTTACTTTTTCTTTAATAGTTCTACCACATGAATTCCTAAATTTTACTTGCTAAATTTTATTATGTGATATGATTTTCATGTAGATCCTAATACAAGTGTGTATATCAAAATTTTGTGTGTATCAATAAAAATTGAAAGAAAAAATTGAGAATATATATAATATTTTCATTTCTTAAATTGATATTACTCCGTATTATCCTAATTTTGCTGGATTAAGTTTGAACTTGTCTAATGTTGAGATATGCAATCGTTATGCTATGGACCCGTGTCCAGCATGCACTGTTATCTTTCTTCTTCTTCTTCTTATTTTTTTAAAAAAAAAAAATAAAAAAATTCAGACCACTTCGTTATAAGAGTATATGTTCATAATTTTATTACTATATGTTCATAATTGTATGTTCATAATGTCAGAGCTCTATGTTCATAATTCCATAACTGTACATTCATACTTCTATAACTGTACATTCATAATTTCGTAACTGTACATTCATAATTCAATAACTGTAACTTCATAATTTTCGAAGCTCTATTTTCACAATTTTAGAGCTCTATATTCATAATTTTATCACTATATGTTCATTGTTCATATTGTAAGTTCATAATGTCAAAGCTCTGTGTTCATAATTTCATAACTGTACATTCATAATTGCATAACTGTACATTCATAATTCCATAACTGTACATTCATAATTTTCAAAGCTCGATGTTCACAATTTTAGAGCTCTATGTTCATAATTTTATCACTATATGTTTATAATTGTAAGTTCATAATGTCAGAGCTCTGTGTTCATATTTTATAACTTACATTCATAATTCCATAACTGTACATTAACTGTACATTCATAATGGCACAAACGAATAACGCCGTTAACGGCGAGACAAAATCAATTTTTTTTAAAAACTGAAATGACGCGTTTTTCCTAAAAACATCATTTTAGATTCGTGTCCACAATGCATTGTAGACACGACTCCACTGCATAATTTGCCTGAGATATGAGACCCACACTTGATTGTACATTCTTTAATACAACGAACCCAACATTCATATTTTAACTCTATCATTGAATTAAAGCCCAACACCAAGCTCAGTTTGGCATACATAGTTTAAAAGCTTGCTTAAAATTAAAAATTTAAAAATTAGTAGCCAAGGAACACTATTTAATGTATCGTTTCAAAATAAGCTTTAAGATACATATGTTTTACCAAATAAAGTTTATAATTTATTTGTAACTTAAAATAAATTTTATCAAATAGAGTCCAAATTATCTTAGATATGTAGAGTTCAAACCTTACATTATCACTAAAAACGAGTCTCAAGTGCAACACCCTATCTACTTAAATCACGTCAGGGTCTAATTTTTAACTTTTTTTTTTAAATAAAAATATCTTGGTGTTTGTATTTTGTTTAGGATGAAACATGCATGAATGTCGAAGGAGACTCTTATGTTGGAGATTGTAAATTTTTATTTGTTACATTGAATGTTTTTGTCCTTTTAATTTAGAATAATCCAGTAATCCATCTAGTGTCTTGGTGGTGGATAAATCCCATGTACACCTACCTGGAAAACAGTGTTTGAATTCAGCAATCTATGTATGTTTTATAGTGCGTATCGTTTTCGTTACCCAATCATTTTTATCTTACCTTTTTATTTTAAAATTAATTTTAACTTATATTCTCTTCAAGTGTTTGGTAAATGCGTGTTAACTTATATGTGTTAATTGAATAGATTAATGAGTGTAAATGTGTGATTAGTTGATAGTATTAACCGATTGTAAGAAAAGTGTTTGGTAAATTAGATGTTAGAGGTTAGTTGTTAGTTGATTACATACAAAATGACTTTCTAAAAAATGTTAATTGAAAAAGTTACTTTGAGCAGCTTTTTAAATTTTAGCATTTTTCAACAATAAGTTTACAAAAAGTTAATTAATTAAACACACATATTGCTTGTTTAATTAAATTAAACAACTAATAATGGTCAAAATTAACTGATAAACTAATTATTTTATTAAATATAATTTTTTTTGCACGTATAAATTTCTACTTATAAAATTAATCACACTAATAACATATAAATTAAATTTATATATTTATGTTTTATTTTTGGTATGTATAGTCAGTTTCTTAATAGTAGTTATATCCTTAATTTTTTGTACCAATAACATTAATGTATAAAAGAGTTATTATTAACAATTTTTAATTGAGATATTTTAAATGAATAAAAATTTGTGTTGAATCGTCTCACGGATCCTTATCGTAAAGCAGATCGGGTCAAAGTAAAAATGTAATACTTATATTAAAATGTTACTAATCAAGAAATAAGTTGTTTATTACTTATATAGGAAAGTGTAATACTTTTAGATAAAAATGTAAATATTTTACATTTTGATTTAAAAGTATTACATTTTCTCTTATAATCAAACGTATTACATTTTTTCATATAAGTAACAAATATTTTACTCCTAATTAGTATTACATTTCCATATTGATTGACCCCACCCGTTTTACAGATATCACAAATATTTTATTCCTAATTAGTATTACATTTTCATATTGAATGACCCGACTTGTTTTAAAGATATAATAAATATTTTTTATATTCCTAATTAGTATTACATTTTTCATATTGAATGACCTGACTCGTTTTAGGATTCGTGAGACGATCTCACAAAAGTATAACCCTTTTAAATGACAATTATATTGATATATTTTTTTTAATTTTCTAAAAATAAATTTACAAGTATATTAATTCGTTACTTTAGTACATAAATTTGGTTCATATATTGTAACTATATAAATTTAATACTGTAGGTATATAAGTTAATTATTGTAAATAAATAAATCCACTATTGTACGTACATAAATTTACTATTTTTGGTGGCATTTTTATGTATCTGTAGTATTATTTCTATGTATTTAATTTTATTTTTATATACCTTTAATATTATTTTAGGTAAGATGAACTCTGATTCACGATATAGAGAGTAATTTGCAGCAACTTTAACTAACTCAGTAGTCTGTACTTTGACAGAGAAATCATAGATATCAGGAAACAACGATGTGGCCCACCAGGAAGATAATCTGAAAGTAGGCCCAACATATGGCCCATTATGACATACTAAACCACATGGGGGTGGAGTGGAGCTTGCGATAATTATGTTTGTTTTGCATGGTTAAAATGTTAAATTATGCATTTCAGCTTTATCTTCTTTGACCGAAAGCGGGACACGTGTACAACGGTAATTCCACGCCGTAAAATTTTCAAAACAAAAAAAGGCCCTAATATTCCTCTCAACGTTCGGTTGGTTCCTCCTCGAAGCAGACCAGTTTTCAGCTCTTCACTGCAATTTCCGATCAATCCTCGACGAATTTCCGACCTAAAGCTCCCTCCTTACAGGTACGCAGTTCTCCTTTATCCATGATTATAGGAAGGATCATCTCACGAACGTTCCGCTTCCGATCGGGTACCGTCGTTCCGGAATCGGAAGTCGAACCCTTAACAGTAGTTTCTGCTAAAGATAATAAGTTTAATTTTGCTGTTAGAAAAGAAATGAATGAAAACGTGAACGTTGAAAGCAGTTATGTTGCCGGAATGAAGTGATTTGGAGACTGAGACGATGTTTACTGTTCACAGACTCTATGTTATGAAGCAAAATGAGAATATGTTCTTAAATCTCAATTCTAGTGAGTAAGTGCTGAGCCAGTACATAGAAACTATAGAGGAAGATTTAGGTTCGAAAAGAAGTAATGAAAGCTACATAACATTAGTATTTTGAACTGAATGATTGAAACTCTTTTTCCCTTGCTTGGAAAATCATCATCGCAATCTAGGTAAGAGGTGAACTATTATGCCTTACTTAAAGATAATAAGAACAGTAAGATGGAAAGTGAATGTGTGAGCTCAAAAATTTAAGTTAACCAATTCTGAATGCATACAACTTTGATGAACAGGTGTTAATCCTCTTCCAGTTTAAATAGTTTTTGTGCCTCTGCAATTCCATTGTGTGTTGACTTGAAATACTCAAATCGGTCTTGTTTCCACTTTCTCCACACTCCCACCCCAAATCCCCTCTTTTAACTCTTAATATCTCATTTCACTTTTATAACTCTCATTTATTTATTTATCCTTTATAGGTGACGGTTTCAACTATGGCTTCCTCCTCCTCTGAGCCAACTGCTAAACCAGAAGGAAGCAGTGGCAATGATGTTTGTGGTGGAGAAACATCAGAAACAGCAGGGCCTACAGGAAGTGATCAGCTATCTTTGTACAGAGTACTGAAGAAAGCAAAGAAAGAGAGGGTCTGCACAGCTAAAGAACGCATCAGCAAAATGCCCCCGTGCACTGCTGGCAAGCGAAGCTCTGTATATCGTGGTGTCACTAGGTATTTCAGCTAGAAAATCATAGTAACACATTAAAAAGCATGTCCAAATAGGGTCAATTTGGGTGCTGTTCCTTAAAAGGGAATAAAAGCTTAGTCACTAGCATTTTATGAAACATACTGCATGATAGTTTCTCTACTATCTTTTCAATTTCCACTGCTTGGTAGTTTCTCAACTATCTCTCCAACTTCTTGACATTTTATAGACCAGGGTTCCAGAACCTAGTTGACAGTTTTGTATTTTTGTTATTTTCTTCCTATAACTAATACATTGATGCTACGTGTTAAGAGTCCATATCTATAAAATAAGAGAGAATATATGGGTTTATAAGGCCATGGGTTATACTAGCTAATTGGTTGGATTCAATCTTTTAGTGTGGTTTGGCCATGTGCATTATAGCCCAGTTGAGTCTTTGTTCACAACACATTAACACTACGTAATATTATCTCTAAGAAATTTACATTTATATTCAATAGAACTTTTCTTTCTCTTATACTTTTTAGCAAAAGCTATTTATTATTGATTTGGTGATTTCTGTACCTCTTTTAGATGGCCATTCATTTTACACAATAAATAAATAAATAAAATGACTAGTTTGCTTTCTTTTCCTTAGATTTGTGAGTTTTAATCAAAGGCAACTCTAAAACTCCCTATGTTTCCATTTTATTTGTCTTGTTTACTGTTTATTAGTCAAACCAACTCTTCTTTCTTTGTTGATTTTCTTATAATTTTTAAATTCGCCTTTTTGTATTTTATAGTACTTTTGATGTAGTTTCCAAGTATATAAATTTTATACACTAAAAATATAAATAGTATGAAAAATTGAACTGTAAATAACTTGAGTCAAGTCTTGTTAACTGAACCCAACACTTAAAATGGGACAGAGAGAGTAGCAAAGATCGGTGAGAGTTCAGTGACTTCAGTCTGTATCATAAATGTGATTTCAGTGGTAGCAAAACAATAGGAAAGGAAGCTAAACACGAACTGAAGTTAATGTTGCTAAAGCATTCCACCTTGGCATATGAGTTGGTTCAAATTATTTTTCTAATGGTTACCAATTCTGTAAAAACAAATGCAAGTTGCATACGTCTACTTTGCATGATAGGAGTTGTAGGGCCAACCGGCCAAATGCACATGCTTTATGCATCAGTAACTATATTTCTGTGTCCTTTTTATGAGTTAAGTAGTTAGCTGAATGAGGAGCTTCCAAGAAATTTTTAAAAATCAAGTCCTTTTTTATTTCATTAAACCTTGTATAGCATATTTTGTGCATTACCTCAAACTAGTTCTGTTGCGTTGCATTTGCAATCTTACATATAGTTGTGAGTGTTTTTTTAAGTGATTCCTTGTATGGTTATGTATGATAAGTTTTGTTTTGAGTAGACTCAAACCATGTTACAAAGATGAATGATCAGTATGCATCTTTGCTATTGTTTGCTAGCACCATTTGAACTTCCATTTAACCTTTTTGTTTTTCATTAAATGATGGAATGCTGTAATGGTAGTGTATCTCCCTTGAGATTTTAACTATTTCAATTAGGCTAGACAAGTGAAGCTTGAAGTTTGTTTCTGATAGTTTTACTGAAAATCTGCCACAAGTTAAGGCTATAAGTGCATAAGCATCTAGAAGTGCTTGTGCCATTTAGTTTTGCATAAAGGGTATGTAGAATTAAGCAACCTGTACAAGTTCTTCCCACACCTATCATTTTCGTAATGCTAAAGTGCACCGGTTTCTAATTTAGAGGTTGCATTAAATTTGAGTTACTTATGGATAAACTGGCAATTATTGTGCCACTTGTTTGACTTAACAGGGTAGTTATAATTGGTTTGGATGGTCCTTTTTTCATTACTAAAAATGCATGCAAGTACAGATTAACTTATCCTTTCATGGCAAAATTGTGATACATGATTTTTGGATGTATGAGTAGGCATAGATGGACTGGTCGTTATGAAGCTCATCTTTGGGATAAAAGCACCTGGAATCAAAATCAAAATAAGAAGGGAAAACAAGGTCTTTCTCTGCCTCTAATAGATTCATGGTTATTGTTTTTACATGATGATATAAAGTCTAACTTAGAGCTCAAATGCCTCGTTGAATTGCATGTTTCAAAATTCTTACATCTGTGTGGACATTGCGTGCTGATTGGTTCATGATCCCTGTGAACAGTTTATTTGGGTAAGTAGTTTGATGTATTCTTTTCTTAAAAGTGAAAATGATGAGGTTTTAAATTAAGTTTAGTAGTTAACCATTTAACCATTTCTGGTTAAAAATGCCTGTAGGTGCATATGATGATGAGGAGGCTGCTGCCAGAGCATATGATCTTGCTGCTTTGAAATATTGGGGTCCTGGAACACTCATTAATTTTCCAGTAAGAAAATACAGATCCATAGCTTAACTGATTTCTGTAACAAATACCAGAATCCAGAGTTTCTTCCATCCTGCACCTCAAATCTCCTTCCATTTTCCTTTAACATTAAAATATAAAATTAAGTTTTCATTACGTTTGGCAGTAACACAAGTATGTTATCCAGTTCTGTTAATTTGTAGTCTCTCAATCCATTTCAAATTATTTTCTTCTACTTTTTGTCCAAAATTAAAAGGATCCCTTTACTTAAAGGGTAAGGAATACTATCTACAATAATTCAGGTTTATATAAAAGGTACTAACTTTAGCTTTGAAGTGACATTTTCCCTATAAACTATGTGCTTGTCAGAACTTCTCAATACACAGATTCAAATTATTATCCTCACGGTGGGTGGGTAGCTTACAATGATAACTTGGGATTTGTGGTTTCCTAGAGCTTAAATCTGTAAAAGATGCAATTGGAACTTTGATAAATGCCTTAATAGATACTTGATGAATCTATGGCATGTAATTGAGGGAATCTTTACTTTTTATTGTTTTAGGTAACAGATTATACAAGGGACCTTGAAGAAATGCAAAACCTTTCAAGGGAGGATTATCTTGCATCACTTAGAAGGTATGTAGTTATCTACTTACCTGCATTTACATTTACTCTGAAAGCTTATAATTCGAATGTGGTGTGGTTTATGCAATTTCTTGCAGAAAGAGCAGTGGATTTTCGAGAGGAATCTCTAAATATCGTCCACTTTCTAGGTATGCTTGCACGTGACAACTATCTCCTCTTTTATTTCATGGCTCATGAAATCAATGATATATCTGTATGTTTTCCACTTCTAACAATACATCTGATCTAGTTTGCTTTCTTGCATAGTAGTCGGTGGGATTCACAATTTGGTCGTTTACAAGGAGCTGACTATTTCAGCAGCAAACATCATGGTGACTTTAACTTTTTCCTCTTGTGAAGATAGGACCAAAATAATGAAATTCATAATATTTGGAAATTCTAATTTCTTTATCTGTCTGGTGCAGGTGGTGATGTCACTGCAGATAATGAATATGTAGCCGGTTATTGCATGGACCAAAAAATTGATTTGTCAAGTTATATCAAGTGGTGGGGAGCCAGCAAAGCTCGTCAAGCAGATTCTTATGTAAAAGGGACATCAGAGGAAACCAAGCATGGTTGTTCTGAGGATACTGGTAATGAAGCTTCAGAATTGGCAGTTCAGCCAACTGAACCCTATGAGATGCCACGTCTGGGCTTGTCACAAAAAGGAAAAAGTCATAAAAGCTCCACAACTTCTGCTATGAGCATTTTGTCACAATGTGCAGCTTACAAGAATTTGCAAGAGAAGGTAGCAAAGAAGAAAGAAAAAGTTGAGAATGATGAGAATGAAAACAAAAATACTATCAACAAAATTGATTATGGGAAGACAATTGAGAAATCAATACATGATGCTGGAAATGAGAGGCTTGGAGCTTTATTTGGAAGTAGTGTAGGATTAACAATCAACAGAAACATCCACCCGCTCACTCCTATCTTGTCCGCTCCCCTACTAACCAACTACAACAGCATAGATGCCTTAACAGACCCTGTTCTTTGGACGTCTCTTGTTCCTGTTTTTCCTTCAGGATCTTCACGTGCTACTGAGGTTTGTTGTTTATCTTTTATTCTATTAATAATTTACAAAGCACTTGAAGGGGAAGTAGATCGAACAACTACGGTTAATATTATACTTCCAGTCATGCGATTAATATATTTATGCACCATGAAGCTCGTACCAATTCATGCAGGTCACAAAGCACGAGTCTGGTTCGGATTATACTTTTTTCCAGCAAGAAGACTGAATCTCTCATAAGATGAAAGTTGTTGCTACAGACTTATGGTGTCCATCTATGAGTTTAAGTTGTTGAAGGGTGGGCAAACACTAAATTTTCAGAAGGTTTGTACTTTGTATAATTATAGCTTTTCCTGAATGTAAAATGGTGAGTTCCCTGAGATAATGGTTCCTGCATGTAGAAATGTAAAATAGCCGATGATGTTTATTTATTTATTTATTCTTTCTTTCTTTTAGACCAGTTTGATTCAACTTTTTTATTTATTTATTTATTTATTTTATTTTGTGCATTTAGGTTTAAGGAAGTATTCCAATTCATGTTGGCAGGTAAGACAAATTCTATTTAATGTGTCAATTTTTTATTGGTTGAGGGCCAACCAATAAATCTTTGATTAAATTAGATCATCAGGCAATAGTCATTGGACTTGTTTGGTAACTTTTGTCTTGCCCGCCAATTGAATAGCCTTAAACCTATTCCATGCAAGACATAGGAACTTCTGTTTGGGACATGAAAGCTTGCTAGTGGTTTCTTAAGGATCACAAATATCAATTATGTAGTCATAGATTCTCATGATGGTGTCAGGGCATATTTCATTTCCAGTCACCCACCACAGATTAGAGGCCCAAAATAAACCACTTATTAATGTGTTAAACTGTTATGCCACTGAGTCTTGCCTCCAGGTCCCACTTTCCTTTATCCATAGCCGGATGTGTCTTTGGAAAGGTGATCATTTTCTTGATGCCTCAAAAGTCACCCACTCCTGATCGAGTGGGTTCTTGTAACAATAAGTGCCAAGTTGAATGTGTTTGTGGATGATTTTTTAACCAATAATGTGTGTGTTTGTTTAACATCGTCCCTTAAGCATGAGGTTGGGGTTTGATCCCCACCCATGTGAATGGAACAAACCATTTGACCAGTCTCCTACCACTTAGTGTGCTGATAGTAGTGTCCCCTACCACTTAGTGTGCTGACAGTAGGGACGAGAGATTGGTCTTCTGGCTATCGGCTGGAGAGATACCTTTGGGCAACCAAAAAAAAAATTCTTCCTTTTTCCTCTTTCCTTTTCTTATGTTGTACTCCGTATGTTCTTGTGTATCTTTGCTTGAAAATAGTAGCCAAAGATGCATACCTTTGTGAACGACTAGTGAGAAAGTGTTTGTTCTCTGTGAAGCTTCAATTGAAAAGTGCGGCATGTAGCATGCATGAGTACTAAGTTTAGGAGAAGAAAAGTAGTATCACCGGGGATCGAGTCTCACCAGCGGTAGTGTGGGAGCAACATCTCAAAGTGAGGGGGGCTCCTTGTGCGCAGTGAGCACCGGTCTAGCCTCTGTGGTTCATGTTTAGTTGAGTCACCATGATTTACATCCTTCCAAATATTCTGTCGGGCCGGAGTGTGGGGGCCCTTAGGGTTGGGGTTCAACCTTTTGGAAGAAGGAGAAGAAAAGTAGTATTGTCAAAGCTGGCTAGTGGGCAGGGCCGGATTTTAGGCTGTGCAAGCTGGGCAACCGCACAGGGCCCCCAATTTTAGAGGGGCCCCAACGTTTAGAAGCCTAATATATAATTTTTACCTAGCTAGTTTAGAAATAAAAATTAAAAGTTTTCAATTAATCTTAAAAATGTTCTATGAAGAGATGGTAGAAATGTGTATTTATTGTATTTCAATTTCAACTTGGAGGTCAAAGGTTCAAAACTTGCATATGTCAAATTTTTAAAAATTATGATTTTGGAGGGCCTTAGTTATTTACCAGAACAGGGCCACAAAAACAATGCTAGCATGTATAGCTTAGATAATTTAAACAAACATTAACTCAAAGTTGTAAAGCCAATAATGACTCTAAATAATCTAAAACAAAATTATTATATGCTTAAATGATAAAATTTAAATAAAATTTAATTTGATTATGTTATTAGTATTAATATTGACGGGCCTTTAAATCCCTAACCCATCCCTACTTCATTAAGTGGCGGTGCAAGCCGGGTCGTGGGTAAATTATATCGTACACCAGAGCGCATAATGTATTGTGTATCCTGGCTTAAAATGACGTCATATTGTATTTGTATTTTTTTATTTTTTTAAAAATTTCGTTTCGTGTGTCTGCTGTAACTTCTAATTTTTTTTTTTTTTTTTTTTTTTTTTTTATGTTTCGAATGTACATAATTGTATAATAGAATACACATAAACTCCGTTGCATCACTCCCCACACAACTTAACAAAACGACGTTGTTTTGAGCTGGGCGGGGCGCACAATGATTGTGCACCCTGGTGCACGATATAACAATTGCGGGTCGTGAACTATGCTTGTGTTGGTAGCTCTAAACTCAAGAATTCAAGTCACATAAGTGGCTTCATATTAGTTCATTTATGGCTATGTATTCATCTAAGGTCCTCGTCCAACATTCCGGGTCATTGAACTCGAATACAGCAAACGTCGATGGCATTGAGTGAGACATGTTAGTTGTAAGTTGTAACTGCTTTTGAGAGTAATCACCTAACCATTATTATCCATGAATGTACAAGAATACATAAATACATAAATCATTTAACATTTTTACTTTTTTTTTTTCAATAACCATTTTTACAATGCCTCTTTCATTGGCTTTCAAATAACAATACAGTAATGAGAAACCTAATGTACGTACCTTCCAGTAGAATTCCTGAGTTTTCCCGTAAATCAAAGAAATTAAAAAAAGAAAAAAAAATCACAAGCTAGAACTGCTTCATTAATTATATATTCTTGGTGTGCATGGTATTGGTACGTTTTCTCTTGTCATAAGTAACTCCCCTAGCCTTAGCCTGAGCATCCCGGAGCTCCCTCAAGTAGAGGCGCACGGCGCGGCAGCCAAAGGGGTTGGCCTCCGGCAGGCCGCCGTTCTCTTCGAAGGCGGCACGGAGGCGGCCGACGAGGGCGTCGAGGCTGCCCCAGGCTTGGTTGAGCGGGCAGGGACAGGGAGCCGGCGGCTGCGGCTGCCCAAAATAAGGACAGCAAGCGGTGTGAACCTTGGTCTTCCCGAACTGATCCAGGTACTTGAAGAACTCTAGGATGTTGGCGCCGCTGCAGCGGGAGAGGAGAAGCGGCGGCTTGTGGCTTTTCAGGTACCGCCCGAAGGCGTTCCAGTCGCGCTGCTTCTGCACCTCGTATCGGCTCATTGTCATTATATTATATTATTATATCATACCAACCTTAATTAAGGAGGATATATTTCGACAATTATATATAGAAGTAGACAGCACCATTGATGTCCACATATAATGCTCAAACTAAGTATGATTACGATTTTTGGAGTAGGGTCCGTCCGTTTAAATTAGTTTAACTGTTTATATATTATGGTTGTAATAAATAATTGAAGTATATAATTATATTACACTTGATTTTATATTTGAATATAATATAATAGGACAGGCATGGGCCATGAGCAAAATTGGCATGTGGAATCATTTCAAACTGTCTTGTAGTTTATCACACGTATTACATCTTAGAATTGCAAAAGGTAAATATAAATGGAGATGCGGGGTATCGATCCCTGTACCTCTCACATGCTAAGCGAGCGCTCTACCATCTGAGCTACATCCCCAATTTGTTTCGAATTCAGAGTTTAGAGTATATGAACATGTTCTGTTTCAAGTTAAAAAATTAAAACAAACAAAGAATGGAGATGCGGGGTATTGATCCCCATACCTCTTGCATGCTAAGCAAGCACTCACTCTACCATCTGAGCTACATCCCCAATTGATATGGCGGTTCGTATATATTTTATCTATTAAAGTAATCGATTATTATTACAAAGTCGGCAACTTATAGTGAGATGGAGATAGGAGATGCAGTGATGGGCGGCTGACTTCTCACACAATTCTATTGCCTATAAAAGAAAGACAAAGTCAAAACAAAATGGTTGCTCCTTAATTTGTGTATCACAACTTTTTTCTTATAAAAATTGACTAAATTTAAATATTTGTTGAAAATAATATTGAAATAGATAGCTTGGGAAGTATATATACCTTTCAAGAATTTTATGATGTGGATGGCTGGATTTCATTTAGTATTCGAATCATATTTTCAGCTTTGTGGCAGCCCTTGAGTGCCCTACAATGAGGGGGAAAGGTCAAGTCTTTTGTCTCTTTTATGTCGAATGAATGATATTTTTATGAACTTTTGTGTTCTTGGACCTTGGTAAAGAACAAGTGCAAGAAGAATTGAGATTTATTTATCGAAAACTAATAATTTATTTGTTAGTGTGCTTGGGCAGTTGGACTGAAGTTTCTTTTGCTGGACTTTAAGCCATGTTAGGCTTCTTGTTTTAGCATTAGCATATATTTCCCATCTTGCAACCCCATATTTCATGTTCTCTTAATTAGCCCATGCCTTCACTTTCAATCCTATTCCCTTTTTGCTTGTTTAGTTTTGAGCCATGCAAGGATAATAAGGTGGATCTTCTTGGGCCAAATTTACTATTCATTGCCCTAAATATCTTGGTTTGGGATTGGGCTTCTAGAGGCTAATTAAGAATATTTATTTGAGGAGGCGAGACAAATTCACAGTCACTATTTGAGGATGTGTACGATGTAAACTCAACTCCTTTGTAATATATAGTCTCTAAATCACACATGATGAGGGAAATAAAACGTACTAGAAAGACCTTGGGCAATGGGCTCAATCGAACTCGTAAGCTTCAGGTATAAAATTCATACTCTACCAGTCTACCCCACAAGCCACCCTTTCCAGGCATGTATATTGATAGGGTAAATTTTTTCGGGTCAGGTTGGATGTGATCGGGAAATCCATTAGAAGATAGAATAATGTGGTCGGGAAACTAGATAGGGACTTGACTATACAAGGTCAGGAGGCTCAGCTCCAAGTGGAGTGGTGTAGGTTAGGAACCAAAAGTCCCCCTCCCTCGCATTTAATGTGATATTTATAGGAAAGTAGGGGAACACATGTCGAAAGCTCGGCATGTGCAACACGTGCTGCTCATGCACAAGGACAAGTCGGAGGCCTCGCTGATTCCTCCACATGCACAAAGGTTCCTGACGCCCTCGTTCCTGCCACGGTCGGTCTGACTAAAGGGGTTGAGGTTCCGTTTTCTAAGTGGGGGAGGTCGGGTACCACGCCCCGACCTAAGATGATTGGGAAGACCCCAAATTAAGGTGGGGAATTACCGTCGCTAACTGAGTCTCTGCAACCTCTGTTCGGTCCTTTATGTTAGGTCGGGTCAGGTTGCTCCAAAGTCGATAAACGCTCGGAAATAATTTCTC